GGTTTTATCATATGTTATCGTTATGAGAACTAGTGGACTAAAAATGTTAGTTTCTATCTCAGGGATATGTCCCTGCTTTCAGGCTAAACTGAACCATCACCCCTTCAGGCATGAAACTTTATGCTTGCATGTATCTTTACATGTACTGTCAAAAGTCTGTCCACCCCAAAGGTCATCTGTAAAGTTAATGAGTGAGTGAGTGAGTTGGGTTTAACGCCGCTTTTAACAGTATTCCAGTTATATCACGGCGTGTCAGCTTAATGTGGGAGGAAAGGCCGAAGAGATGCAGGTCTTAGACCCTTACCACTTCGGTGAAACCCACGAGCACGGGTATGGTGCTGACAAACCTAGAAACATAATCGGGGCGAACCGGGATTCCAGACCACAATCATATGTTTCTGGCGTGTCCAAGGGACGCAACTCTGCACAGCGAATTGCGGCGCCTTAGATGACTGGGCCACCCGTGCCCCCTGTAAAGTTAATGGCAATACATGGTCATCTGTCATTCATTGCCAGAATTGGGGTATTTGTAGTAGTCAAGGTCCCTTATGCATCTGATTTTACACATGCAAGCGAATACCTCTTGATGTAACACTGAATATTTTGTAGTTTGAGACTATCCAGTGACTTATTACCAGTCCTTGGGGGCACGGGTGGCCCAGTCGTCTAAGGCGCCGCGATTCGCTGTGCAGAGTTGCGTCCCTTGGGCACGCCAGAAACCTATGATTGTTGGTTCGAATCCTGGTTCGCCCCGATTATGTTTCTAGGTTTGTCAGCACCATACCCGTGCTCAGGGGTTTCAACTAAGTGGTAAACGTCTGAGACCTGAATCACTTCGGGCTTTCCTCCCACATTAAGCTGACACGACGCGATATAACTGGAATAGTGTTAAAAGTGGCGTTAAACCAAACTCACTCACTCACACTTTTACCTGTCCTGAGACTGCCACCGTGTTCTAGTGGTAGAGAGAGCAGAAGGTTGGGGATTTGATCTCTGACTGTGTCATACCTATAGATGTTAAAAGATGGCACTTGTTACCCTGCCTGGCGCTCGGCATTAAGGGGCTTAAACAAGAACTGGTGGCCTCAGAGTCGGTATACTGTGTCTGAGTGGTGTATTCATGTTAAACTGTGGCAGGGGCCTAGCACTATAAAATTGCATCAGTCAAGACCAGTACAGGCACACACTTGATAACTGAATATTCATATATCAGACTTTGCTCTGTAATCTCAACTGAAGAAAGAGGAGTGTCATCTGCTCTCACATTTTTGTATGGTTCAGAAAACAATTATATTTACAATTGGCAAATTAATAATTAATTCCTAAAGTCAATCTTCTTATATTTTATTCATTAGTCTTTCTCCCAAACTAATATGCTTGTTATTATGGTAATAATTAATGGTGATGTTCATGATAAGACAAATTGCATGTAATTCAACTGAAACAATGACAAATTGACATGCTAGTTGTGTGGTTGCTGTGGTTGGTGGGATAAAACAGATCATTTGTGTTTCGTTTGGTTTTACAGTGTCTATGGAATATGACCTGGTTTTACAGTGTCTATGGAATATGACCTGGTTTTACAGTGTCCATGGAATATGACCTGGTTTTACAGTGTCCATGGAATATGACCTGGTTTTACAGTGTCCATGGAATATGACCTGGTTTTACAGTGTCCATGGAATATGACCTGGTTTTACAGTGTTCATGGAATATGACCTGGTTTTACAGTGTCCATGGAATGTGACCTGGTTTTACAGTGCCCATGTAATATCTATCACCTGGTTTTAGAGTGCCCATGTGATATGACCTGGTGGTACAGTGCCCATGTGATATGACCTGGTTTTACAGTGCCCATGGAATATGACTGTCCAACGCTGGTTTGCTTTGTACAGACTTGTCTGTTGATTCTATACCGACTGTGAGCCATAGGTTATCTTCCTGAGGCAGGGGAGTTAACTGGCTTAGTTAAAGAGAAAAGTTTCAACCCTTGCCGAACTAGGCTGCAATTTTGGAGTTATAATTTGGCTGGACAAACAAGTCTGTGCATAGTCCAATGAAAATTGCGTAATGAAATTGACTGCCGTGTAGATTTCGGTTGATTGCAGAATTTGCATAGAATGTGTACTGTCAACAGATATTTTCCAAATCTTTTCATGTTTTAAGTCAGGTGCTCACGTGATATGATGCAGTTCGCAAAAGAAAACATGTTTATTACAATATAGATCATGATTATCAATCAGATCATATTCTCTGGGTGCTACTATTTTGTTTGAAGCAAATGCAAGTGAATCTGATTGGTCAATAGGAGGAACATAGAAGGGACATTACTCGTAATAGCCACTGGTGGTGCTACGATCGACCCAAGAAATTCCAGCCTAGTTCGGGGGAGGTGAACACTGGTCTTTTACAGACAGTTAGCTTCCTTGCCTCAAGAAGATGGAAAGGGATATTGTTTTTATTTCAGCACTTGCCAGAAAAATGAAAAACAATCAAAAATTATAAATTATCTCTCACCCTAAGGACACTTGAGCATATTGTATTGTTGATGTGACCCAGTCATCTGCGGTGCCTCAATTCACTGTGCAGGGTTGTGTCCCCTGGCTGGGCCAGGATTATGATTTGCGAGATGTATGTACATTAGCATGTCAATCGATGTGTAAACATCACTGTGTGTTGCATCATGCGTAGAGAAGACATGGTTATTTTTTGGTTGTTGTGAGGCAGGGTGAGACCAACTGATATTATTGCATGATGCTTAATTAATCATTCAGAGAATAACCTACAAGCTACGAGGAATTATTGATTAGCTATCCTAAGAGAAGACCTTTCAATATTATATATACAGCTTTTCGCAAGCTCCGACGTTCATACAGTTTGGCCCTCACTCTATGAAGGCTCATACTCCAATGAACTCACACAAAGTGAAAGTCAATTCTTAAATATTTAGGAAATATGATCTGGATGTACGGTCAGTGTCCAACACTCCAGCTCCCAGTATATCACAATACGTACCACAGTACTGCTTCCTGTATCGCAATACATTGCACTACAATTCTTTAGCCAATACATGGTCCTAATACTCGTCGTTGTTATTAGCAAGCTCATCCTATGTTGTAGGTGGAAATGTTATATCTAGTTAACACTGTTGCGTCTAGGTCCAAAAATAGCAACAATTAACAGTACCAGTACATGCAACATTTCATGTCCTTCTCTGACGGTCACATTAAATGTCACGTTCATCTTGAGAACTGTCACAGGTTAATTACGCCTACGGCAGTCATAATTTTCTTTGATCCTATTACGTCGAGTAGATCCTTGCTGGAAGCAAGGAAACAGATTTGCTAATTTTTCAGTACTCAAATTCTCCTTCCCACATCCAACTATTCCTGATCAGATTAGTTTTCGCTGTAAAAGGAATCCTTTATCCTCCATCCTTCCATGTAAATTAAGTCACTTCAACTTTCACATTTTGTCTAGCTTTCATTTGATTGTATCTACACTCTGATTACACCAGATCAAGTGTCGGTACAGACATGTGAAACTGCTCAGGATGTGCAGAACAGTTTTAATTATTGTTTTTCTAGGGTCTGTTGTAGCTATTCATGTGATAATGTATCTTGAGTTTCTTAAAAACATTAACATTTCGTGTGACATGTGGCATTTACTAGTCCTTGTCATTTCCTTTTATTAGTTTTAACAAAGTTTATCTTCTTTAGAATGTTTTAATGGTGATGTCATGGAATAATGGATAATGGAATTTCTGTAGGTACAGTCGAACCCTGTTGTCTCTGACACTGAGCAGTCTTCTCCCCCGTTGTGTTGAACTCATAGGCCCATGAACTCTCACTACATTATTTACCATTATTTACCACCCAGGAATGTTTGTACAGGGAAGACAATGTTTGAAATATAATAAATTGCCAGGCTGCCATCGACCCATGAAGATTCCGGGGTAGAATAGGTCTGGGCAACCCATGCTTGTCGTAAAAGGCGATTATGCTTGTCGTAAAAGGCGACTAACGGGATCGGGTGGTCAGGCTCGCTGACTTGGTTGATACATGTCATCGATCCCAAATGCGTGGATGGATGCTCATGAGATCAGTCACTGGATTGTCTGGTCCGATTATTTACAGACCGCCGTCATATAGCTGGAATATTGCTGAGTGCGGCGTTAAACAGCAAACCAACCAACCAACCAACCAACCAGGCTGCCATCAGGACCCACAGACTTTACAAGCTGCAGGCCCTGACTGATCTCTTCAGGCCAACATTTAAAAAAACCTGCAGCGTATTTTCACAAATATATTGACACCTAAATTTACTGCAGGCCATAAGGACCAATATAAATTTGAAACTATGGCCCCGACCAGAGATCTACCTGTCACGGGCCTACGGGCAGGCGCTTATTTTGAACACTACAGGAAGCATCGCCTTCTCTGAAGTTAAATGCAACTCATGACTTGAGTCTAACTCAATATTTTTTATACACAAGTTAGAATTTGTATTTTTTTAATAGGATGAGTATGGATACATAAATGTAGATATGACAAATCCGTCTGATTTTGTTATTTTTTAAATGTAATGTAATGTTTTTTGCTTACTGTTGTCTGATGCCAGGGGCACTCTGTAATAAGGTCAATTCGGGTGTTTTGAACCCATCATTTGTCTGGCCCCTAGGAGTATTTCGACAACAGGGTTCGACTGTATACAGTTTCTAAAAAACTTGTAGAATGATTTTAACATGTGTGTGGTTATCAATAGTCATGCTTGAAGGTATTACCATTTTTCTGATTACTGTTTTAATTAATAGCACAAATTATACATAATATATGTATGAATATGAAAATGTTTATTGTGTGCAGAAAGAAATAACAGCATGTCTTGCATCATTTCAATGAGCAAAACAGTAGGTAGATGACAAGCATATCTCTTTGCAATCTGATGAAGCTCAGACAAAACAATTGTATTCCTGTATGCTTCCACTTACTTTCTTGCAGACATCCGAACAGAAGATGTTGGAGAGGACGATGAGAATAGCTAGGGAGTTTTCGGATCTCATAGTCTATTGCCGAGCCGTCCCATTTAACCCAGAGGGTAACAGAAGGAACAATATATGTCTTTGTAGTTTAGAAATTGTTTTAGTGGGTGAAATCAAAGAGGATATGAGAGCCAGTTGTATTTTATAGATGTAGGTGTGTTCGTTTTGGATAGAAAAATATACCTGAAATATCCAAAGCAAGTCTACAATACTTTGGCAAGTCTAGATTTCTTGAGTCTGAAAAATAATTCTGGGCTCCTTCATGAAATGACAAACGACAATCTGTAAAAAGTACTTCATTTCTGAAAGTTATTGTTTGTCTGTTGATGTATATGTAAATGTGATATAATTCATGGTTCTATGGTGCATACTTATGAATAAAGAGTACATTTTGATACTTTATGATAGACTAATTGAATTTTGCTCAATCAAAAAAAATCGAAAAAGATATTGTCTCCTTTATAACATGATGCTGCATAAAAGAAGAAACAATTCATTAATTTGATGTTGTGTCTTATTTTGGTGATCAACATGATCAATGCAGTTGTGTCAGAACCAAAATATACTTGTCTTTTTTTGTTTTTTTTGCTTAATATCTCAATTGCTAGTCAGGGAATATTCTTAAAGTACATCTATTTTAGTACTGTTTTAAGCTACATGTATATGAATTAAGCAATGGAAATATGAAGCTTGTTTTGTTTCTCTGAAATCATTCAGCTGTAAGCTTTCTTTCACAATGATTGGTAATTCTTGGCTGTTAATTTTGTTATAAAAAAGACAAATTTTAAATTTTGCAAGTTTGGTGAAGAATAATTACATTAATGGTATATTTTCAGAAATCCCTGGTCCATACTACGAGATGTCCTCATTTCCAGAGACAAAAGTTGAGAAATACATCAACCGCAGCAAAGCCAAATTTTTCCTCAGATATCCTTTCACAAATAATGCCCTTTCATCGGAGGGTTCATCTGAAAAATGTGAAGAAAGCAACTTAGATGAGTCCCTTCGGACTGGTGTTAGATATTGGCCAGCAATCTCATTGGCACATACATACATGTTGCGACCGCCTCCATGGTCTTGTGGTAGAGCATCCGCCCGGAGAGCCGAAGGTCCGGGGTTCGATCCCCGGCTGCGTCATACCAAAAGACGTTAAAAGATGGTACTTGTTGTTACCCTGTCTGGCGCTCGGCATTAAGGGGCTAAAACAAGGACTGGTTGGCTCAGAGTCAGTATACTGTGTCTGAGTGGGGTATTCATGTTAAACTGCAGCGTGGTATCTCAGTGAGCTAGCACACCCCCCCTCGGCATTAAGGGGCTAAAACAAGGACTGGTTGGCTCAGAGTCAGTATACTGTGTCTGAGTGGGGTATTCATGTTAAACTGCAGCGTGGTATCTCAGTGAGCTAGCACACCCCCCCTCGGCATTAAGGGGCTAAAACAAGGATTGGTCGGCTCAGAGTCAGTATACTGTGTCTGAGTGGGGTATTCATGTTAAACTGCGGCATGTATCTCAGTGAGCTAGCACTATAAATTTGCATCAGTCCGGACTAGTACAAGCAGCCACACAAACACACACACGTACATGCACGTCGCTATATAAGTGCAATAATCTTGGACGCGACGTTAAACCTAATTTCACCTCACATACATGTTGCTATCAGTGAAATAACCTTGAATGTGACTTTAAGCCCTATTTTACCACACCTCCTTGCTTTAAGTGTAAACCTAATGCCTTGTGTCCTTGGCTTTTTGTATTGGTGAATATGGCAGCATCACACACCATACTCACTACTTACCTTATGTTACCGTATTCGACGTAATAAGTGCCCAGGGCGCCCCAAAATGAGAAATAAGGGGCTCTCATTAGAATATTATTTTGGTGAAACAAACAGAGGATACAGTTTTGTGGTTTATGCTGACAGGCTGAAATGTTTATATATGACAGATATATTTTTCCAGAATTTAATTGCCCATAATTAAGGGTGCATATTATACGAGAATAAGTAAGTCTTGTGTACATTGATGAATCCGAAGGGGTGCTGATTGGGATTGTTCACTAGCCAATATATTAGCAAATATCGCCGCTTATTAGAGCGGAGCGCTTATTACGTTGAATATGGTAATACCGTATTCGACATTATAAGCGCCCAGGGCGCTCTCAAAATAAGAAATAGCGGGCTCTTATTAGAATATTATTTTGGTGAAAAGCAACAAAGTTGAAAGATCGTAAATTTCGTGGTTTATGTTGACAGCCTGAAATGTTAATATACGAAAGATATATTTTTTTTCAGAATTGAATGCCCCATAATTAAGGGTGCACATAACACACATATTACATTGATCAATTGAAAGGGGTGATAATTGGGATTGTTCACTAGCCAATTGTTTAGCAAATATCGCCGTGGGCGCATATTAGAGCGGGGCGCTTATTACGGCGAATACGGTAATTGATATTAATGCTCTGACCACAACAAGGGGACGCGGGTGGCCCAGTCGTCTAAGTTGATTGAATCCCAGAATTACCCATGTAATGTTTCAATGTTTGTCAGCACCCTCATGAGTTTCACAAAAGTGGTAAACATCTAAGACCTGCATCACTTCAGGCTTTCCTCCCACATCAAGATGGCACAGCATGATATAACTGAAATACTGTTCAAAGCAGTGTATAAGCCAAACTCTCACCCTTACCATAACAGGAAGCAGACACCAGTTACAAGGACTAGACATTGACTGGAAATTGACACAATACAAGGTGTGAGGTTGGTACCTCAATAAAGGCGGTCGGTGCCTTGTGATGGTCCTGAAACTGCTTTCATATTAGTTGGTACATTCCACACCTGGGATATGGATATATTAGTCTTTGCTGGATGCCGCTGTAATCATTGATAAATTCTGCAACCACTTTTTATGAAATCTGCAATTCTTCTGCAATCTCTTAGGCTAGTTTTGTTTAGGAATGAAGGTTATTTTCGGACAGATTAATCATTTGTTTGTGAACTGACAGTGGCACCATAAAACCACAAGACATGCTTCTGGTAATCACAATACAAAAGTTGGATTTACTTGGAAATGAAACTGGAATATGGATTTGAACACTTTCATAATATTAAAATATGTAAAAATAGCATTGAAGAATGTTCTTTTACTACCAGTATTCTTAAATTACACAAATACTTCATATAATTATTTGGAAATATTTTATAATCACAGAAATACAGAAACAATTATGTCACACGTTGACAGTTAGTTTCTTTAAGCCGATGCAACTTTTACATTAAGGACAGGCTTCCAATTTGAATGATAAGTGTCTGCAGTGTGTTTGACTGTTACGGTTCTGCATCAACAGAAAGATTATGCAAGATATTCTGCAACTGCAGAAGACAGGGATTGATATACTAGAGGATAGTAGTCGATATGATTGAATATATAACACACTGCTTCCTTAACAACGTCACCTACCACCGTCAACAACTGAGTCGAGTGTACCCAAAAGGGCAGCGTGTTGACTCGTCGAACTACGACCCGGTCCCGATCTGGAACACGGGGTCACAGCTCCTGGCACTGAACTACCAGACTCCGGACAAGGCCATGCAGGTGTACCAGGGCCGCTTTCTGCAGAATGGAAGGTACGCCGTGGTGCCCGACTCGTCTGAGAGGAGACATGCCAAAAGGCTCTATTTATCTGTCTGGGACGTTTTGTTTCTGGAACATAACTAATAGACCATTCCGTATTTCTTCTTGCTTTTGAGCTGGTGACTTTTGCTATTCAGGATACAGTCAAGTCCTGTTAATGCAACATGGTTGATTGCATATGATAATGATTAATGAGTATGTCGGATAAATGAAATTTACGTTGTGTCAACGATTGTGATAAAAAATCGGACAACTACATGATAAATAATGATACAAACACGTTAATAATAAAAAAAAATTTAAATTTAAACATTCATATTGTTATGGGGGCGGTCGGGTAGCCTAGTGGTTAAAGCGTTCGCTCGTCACGCCGAAGACCTGGGTTCGAATCCCGACATGGGTACAATGTGTGAAGCCCATTTCTGGTGTCCCCCGCCGTGATATTGCTGGAATATTGCTAAAAGCGGCGTAAAACCAAACTCCCTCACTCACTTCATATTGTTATGTTACATTGTTAGGAGAATATGTTTTCTAATCATGCTACTACTAAAGCTTATCACAAAACTACTGTTGACTGATTCAAAATACTTTTGTAAGAAGAGTCTGGAATGGAAGTCGCCAGTTTGAAACTAGTATCTGAAAGCTCAAGAAAGCAGCTTTCTTAGTGGCTAATATAGACTTCCTGTTAGTCATTTCATTGGTTGGTCAAAGTTTGCAAAAGTTTGTTCTGACGTGACCTTCAATGGGATGTCCTCATAACCTTATTTGTCATAGCAGATTCTTATTTGTCCCTGTAGTATATCAGCCGTTTTTGAAAATATTCCTGATCTAGTTTGAATATTGCTGACAAGATTCTCTCACTGACCCTGGTGTCCCCTGCTTGTAGGTGTGGCTATGTTCTGCAGCCAGAGCTGATGAGGGAGGAGTGCTTCAACCCCTACGAGAAGAAGTTCCTCTCCCAGATGGAAGTAGAGCCGCTGGCACTCACCATCAGTGTGAGTACCGTCCCGCTTCTGGTCGCTGCATCTGTGAAAGATTATTGATTTCAGTTATTAATGTTATTGTTGTTTCTTTTCTTTCATCACTCCCACTTCTCATCATCTTAAAGGCGGTCGGATAGCCTAGTGGTTAAAGCGTTTGCTCTTCACGCCAAAGACCCGGGTTTGATTCCTGACATGGGTACATTGTGTGAAGCCCATTCCTGGTGTACCCCCGTGTGATATTGCTGGAATATTGCTAACAGCGGCGTAAAACCATCCTCACTCACTCTCATCATCTTAGGTCATGGATAAGAGAAATATGATCCTGGTAAAGTTATGGAACTTTCTTGGCCTTTTAGTTAAGGAATACTGTATGTTTCTCAGAAATGAGACCTGTGAAGATTCGGGTTAGATTAGGTCTTCAGCGACCAATGCATGCCATAAAAGGTGGCTATGCTTGTCATAAGAGGCAATTAACGGGATCAGAGGGTCAGGCTCGCTGATTTGGTTGATGCATGTCATCGTATCCTAATTGCGTTGATTGATACTCATGATGTCAATCACTGGATAGTCTGGTCCAGACACGATTATTTACAGATTGCCATTATATTGCTTGAATATTGCTGAGTATGACGTGAAACAATAAATCAAACAAACAAACTCAGAAATAAAGGGTCCTTTCAATACTTCAGTGTCCGTGAATAATCATGACACAATTACATTTTTATTTTATGACGGGTAGCCCAGTCTTCACAGGCACCACAATTATCTTTGCAGAGTTATGTCCCTTAGGTGTGCCAGAATCCATTGATTGTGGGTTCGAATTCCAGAGTCTCCCTGATTATGCTTCTTGATTTGTCAGCACCATACCCGGGCTTGTGGTTCCACCAAACTGGTAAACGTTAGAGACCTGCATCACTTCGGACTTTTCTCCCGCCTCAAGTTGATATGTGATATAACCAGCCATGATATAACTGAAATACTGTTCAAAGTGGTGTCAAACCGAACTCACTCACTCACTCACTCACTCACTCCCATCTTTCATTATGCATTCACTCTCTCCAGATTATTGGTGCTCGGCACCTGGTGAAGTCAGGGCGTGGCATTGCAAGTCCATTTGTTGAGATTGAAGTCATGGGAATAGAATGTGACAATCAGAAGTTCAAAACGGGAACTAAAGGTAAGATTGCTGATGTTGTGTTGACTGTTGTTAGAGGTAGATCCCAGTGAGGAGTCCAGGATAAGGTCCCAAGCAACCTTTGCTGGTCGTAAGAGGCGACTAACGGGATTGGGTGGTAAAGCTCAAATGAACTTAATGGATCGGCCCTGGTGACTTGGCTGATTGCGTGTCATCGTGTGGCGAGGATCATTGGCTATATATGTCATTCACTGGATTGTCTGATCCAGACACGATTATTTACACACTGTTTCCATAAAGCTTGAATATTGCTGAGTGCGACATGAAACATCAAACAAACTAATTAGAGATAATCTTGCCACTGAAAGTTGTGTTGGAAAATGAAGTTGGAAGTTTGTGTTTTTTTCCCTTACAGCCTAGAGCTATTTTGAAGATAAACCTACGGTTTACAGTTTAACAAACAAACAAACAAACAAACAAACAAACAAAATGTGATAAAGCAGCATCAAATGTCAATCTGTTTTGCTCTTTTAGTCAGGGGGCGGTCAGGTAGCTTAGTGGTTAAAACAATCGCTCGTCATGCCGAAGACCCAGGTTCGATTCCTGGCATGGGTAAAATGTGTGAAGCCCATGTCTGGTTTTCCCTGCCGTGATATTGCTGAAATATTGCTAAAAGCAGCGAAAAACTATATCCACTCATTCGCAGTTTTAATCAGGGTTTTCAGACACAAGTAGTAATGCCACACTTTGAATTTTCAGTCATCAATATATCATTTGGTAACATTTTTGAAGTAAAGTATTTGAAATTATGGTCTAGCATTGATCAGTCTCATTATAATCAAATCTTAGTGCTAAACAGATTTGAGGGCATCCCATTACAGGTCATGTCCGAACGACCTTTGGCCTACTAATGAAATGACTAATGTATGTTCTGCCTCTGTGGTCTAGTGGTAGAGCGTCCACCTGGAGAGCAGAAGGTCCGGGGTTCGACCCTCGGCTGCGTCATACCAAAAGACGTTAAAAGATGGTAGTTGTTGTTACCCTGTCTGTCGCTCGGCATTAAGGGGCTAAAACAAGGACTGGTTGGCTCAGAGTCAGTATACTGTGTCTGAGTGGGGTATTCATGTTAAACTGCAGCGTGGTATCTCAGTGAGCTAGCACACCCCCCCTCGGCATTAAGGGGCTAAAACAAGGACTGGTTGGCTCAGAGTCAGTATACTGTGTCTGAGTGGGGTATTCATGTTAAACTGCAGCGTGGTATCTCAGTGAGCTAGCACCCCCCCCCCCCCCCCCCCCCCACACACACACACACACACACACACACACACGTCGCTATATAAGTGCAATAATCTTGGATGTTAAACCCAATTTCACCTCACCTCACCTCACCTCACTAATGTAATGTTAATAGATGGCCGAGATTGTATTGCAATACTATCTGACAGAATCAGTCATACAGAGTGTACTAGTACTGTTGTACCCTGTGTTAACCTTTGTGAGGTTGCAAGATTTTAAATCACCTCCAGGCTTCAACTTTGCCAATCCTGTAAGCAATGCTCTGAATGGTCTGATGAAAGGTCGTCCTGACCTATAGTGAGAGATCCTCAAATCCACGTGTAGCTGTTGCACGCACTAGGATCTGATTTCACAGTTCTAAAATGTCACAGTGCAATTGGTAACACTGGCAAGCTGACACTGTCTATGGACAGTCTCAAGGAATGTTAACATTAGAAAAAGTGCTTGGTTCAAACTACTCTCACATATCAAGTATCCTGTCGTTCTGCATGTACACTTCGATTTGGCCATCTGCTTCTATGGCAACCAATCTGCCAGGGTAGGAAAATGTAGAATTTTCTCTACTGAAACTAATGACAAGCTGCTGTCGTATGGCACTGCTGTGTGGTGTCAGGCATATAGCCGCAATAAATACTTACTGTTTTGGGGCGGTCGGGTAGCCTATTGGTTTAAGCGTTCGCTCGTCACCCTGAAGACCCAGGTTCGATTCCCGACATGGGTACAATGTGTGAAGCCCATTTCTGGTGTCCCCTGCCTTGATGTTGCTGGAAAATTGCTTAAAACGGCATAAAACCATACTCACTCACTCACTTACTGTTTTATGCAAATTGTGTGAATGGCAGGTGCTACCGCTAGGGCAGGACATGCTTACCTTTTTGTGAACACCTGGAGTCATCACTGGTACCGTATTTTCTTGAGTATAGTGCACACTTTTTTTTATACACGAAATAATGAGTTTTGATGTTTTTTCCCCCATGGAAAGATATTACCGTGAGCACGTAACACCGGAAAAAACATGTCAACAAATCCATACTGAAGTATGCAAAATCATCATGTAATTACACTGTCTGGCTACAAAAAGTGTTCTTTGTATATATGGAATTATGTATGTAACTTATTTCATTAATTTTATTCAAAATTCCTTTGAATATTGTTTTAATTAATTTTGGCGAAATTGTGTGTGAAGCGATCGGAAAATGATTTGCCAAATTGAATCTGTTTCGTCAGATAATGTTGCTTTAGACTGGCTGTCCTCTTGCATTTACAAGTTTTATTTGTAATTTTCCTCTTGCATTGACAAATTATGTTGTTATTAACACAATGTCAGTGTTAATGTACCAAGTACATACATTCCAACTCAAAACTGTTATGTTATTTGAAAATGTGTTAGGTTTTTAGTGAGAGACTGATCGTGCCATATTGATGTTCTGTTGGTTTCAGTTGACAATGGTTTGAATCCGGTGTGGAATGAGGGATGTATGTTTGACATCTATTGCCCTGAGATGGCCATCATCAGGTTTGCTGTCATGGATGAAGACATCTTTGGAGACCCCAACTTCCTTGGTCAGGCCACCTTCCCTGTACCAGGCATTCGCTCAGGTCAGTCACAGAAAGAGATGGGTGACGTCACTCATGTCAGACATGATAGGGAGGGGTGACGTCACTCAGGTCAGACATGAGAGGGTGGGGTTATGTCACTCAGGTCAAACGTGAGATTGATGGGTGACGTAACTCAGGTCAGACACGAGAGGGAGGGGTGACGTCACTCCGGTCAGACATGAGAGGGAGGGGTGACATCACTCCGGTCAGACATGAGAGGGAGGGGTGACATCACTCAGGTCAAACATGAGAGGGAGGGGTGACATCACTCAGGTCAGACATGAGAGGGAGGGGTGACATCACTCAGGTCAAACATGAGAGGGAGGGGTGACGTCACTCAGGTCAAACATGAGAGGGAGGTGTGACATCACTCAGGTCAGACATGAGAGGGAGGGGTGACATCACTCAGGTCAGACATGAGAGGGAGGGGTGACATCACTCAGGTCAGACATGAGAGGGAGGGGTGACATCACTCAGGTCAGACATGAGAGGGAGGGGTGACATCACTCAGGTCAAACATGAGAGGGAGGGTTGACGTCACTCAGGTCAAACATGAGAGGGAGGGGTGACATCACTCAGGTCAGACATGAGAGGGAGGGGTGACATCACTCAGGTCAAACATGAGAGGGAGGGGTGACATCACTCGGGTCAGACATGAGAGGGAGGGGTGACATCACTGAGGTCAAACATGAGAGGGAGGGTTGACATCACTCAGGTCAAACATGAGATGGCTGGGGTGATGTCACTCGGGTCAGACACGAGAGGGAGGGGTGCGTGACTCAGGTCAGACATAAGAGGGAGGGGTGACGTCACTCGGGTCAGACATGAGAGGGAGGGGTGACATCACTCAGGTCAGTCATGAGAGGGAGGGATGACATCACTCAGGTCAAACATGAGAGGGAGGGGTGACGTCACTCAGGTCAAACATGAGAGGGAGGGGTGACATCACTCAGGTCAGACATGAGAGGGAGGGGTGACATCACTCAGGTCAGACATGAGAGGGAGGTGTGACGTAACTCAGGTCAGACATGAGAGGGAGGGGTGACATCACTCAGGTCAGACATGAGAGGGAGGGGTGACATCACTCAGGTCAAACATGAGAGGGAGGGTTGACGTCACTCAGGTCAAACATGAGAGGGAGGGGTGACATCACTCAGGTCAGACATGAGAGGGAGGAGTGACATCACTCAGGTCAAACATGAGAGGGAGGGGTGACATCACTCAGCTCAGACATGAGAGGGAGGGGTGACATCACTGAGGTCAAACATGAGAGGGAGGGTTGACATCACTCAGGTCAAACATGAGATGGCTGGGGTGATGTCACTCGGGTCAGACACGAGAGGGAGGGGTGCGTGACTCAGGTCAGACATAAGAGGGAGGGGTGACGTCACTCGGGTCAGACATGAGAGGGAGGTGTGACGTCACTCGGGTCAGACATAAGAGGGAGGGGAGACGTCACTCAGGTCAGACATGAGAGAGAGGGGTGACGTCACTCGGGTCAGACATGAGAGGGAGGGGTGACATCACTGAGGTCAAACATGAGAGGGAGGGTTGACATCACTCAGGTCAAACATGAGATGGCTGGGGTGATGTCACTCGGGTCAGACACGAGAGGGAGGGGTGCGTGACTCAGGTCAGACATAAGAGGGAGGGGTGACGTCACTCGGGTCAGACATGAGAGGGAGGTGTGACGTCACTCGGGTCAGACATAAGAGGGAGGGGAGACGTCACTCAGGTCAGACATGAAAGAGAGGGGTGACGTCACTCAGGTCAGACATGTTAGGGAGGGGTGACGTCACTCGGGTCAGACATGAGAGGGAGGGGTGACGTCACTCAGGTCAGACATAAGAGGGAGGGCTGACGTCACTCAGGTCAGACATGAGAGGGAGGGATGACGTCACTCAGGTCAGACATGAGAGGGAGGGGTGATGTCACTCAGGTCAGACATGAAATGGTGGGGTGATGTCACTCAGGTCAGACGCGAGAGGGAGGGTTGACGTCACTCAGGTCAAACATGAGAGGGATGGGTGATATTCAGGTCAGACATGAGCGGGATGGGCGACGTCACTCAGGTCAGACATGAGAGGGAGGGGTGACGTCACTCGGGTCAGACATGAGAGTGAGGAGAATTATTTTGATTGAGTTTAGGTTTCTTGGAATTCTGCTAACAAGGAGTGTTCAGTTGTCATGCAGGCATCCATTGTACATCTTGTACATAACATAGAACGATTGCGTGACATAAAATGACCAGAACACAGTGCACAGTAAAATTTACTTTCCAATGGACAAATTTGGCTTCAAATACTCAATAACACTAGCCTTTAAAAAACATTATGTTCGTCAAGTAAATGGGTTGTTGTCTGTGGCAGGTTACCGTAGCATTCCTCTGAAGAATGGCTACAGTGAAGAACTGGAACTGGCATCACTGATGGTCAGCATCGACATGAGGAACCCCAAGGTCAGTCACAGCACTCACAACACTTACTCTCTCTCTCACCCGGGCTGTCGGGTAGCCTAGTGGTTAAAGCATTCGCTCGTCACGCCAAAGACCCGGGTTCGATTCCCGACATGGGTACAATGTGTGAAGCCCATTTCTGGTGTCCCCCGCCTTGATGTTGCTGGAATATTGCTAAAAGCGGCAAAAAAAACATACTCACTCACTCACTCTCTCTCACCCACCAACCTGCCCACCCGCCTCACTCACTCACTCCAGTTGTATTCCAGTCTGCAGTTTTAGCCACTTGTCCGAAGCCAGAGTCATATTTCTTCTAGTGTAGTAAGATCAGCTTATTCTCGTAAATATAGTGAGACTATCATCTTCTGAAAATAATGCCAAAATACAATTTCGGATAATACAAGATAATAGAAGAAAATGAACAAACCACACACATCCCAAACAGATAATATCCCATGTTCTCAATACATTGACATGATGTCTTCGCAGCAGCATTTGAGTATATTGCGTGAAGCCCATGTTTGGTGTTCCCCGCCATAATACTGCTTGGGTAATCAGTAATCATCAATGATGGTGAAAGCATCATATAGACCTATTCCCTCACTCACTTATATGTCCCTCCACCCACACCCTTGTTAATATCCTAGATGTATCCCTGTAATGTGTCAAGTACCTATTGTAAAGAGACCGCCTCCGTGGTCTGTCTCCCCGGAGATCGGGGGTTCGATCTCCGACCACGCCATACCAAAAGACATTAATAGATGGTACTTCTGGTTACCCTGCGCCCGGCTTTGAGGGGGTAAAACAAGGACTGGTCGGCTCAGAGTCAGTATTCTGTGTCGCTATAAAAGTGCAATAATGTTGAACGCGACGCTAACCCCAGTACACCTCACCTCACCTATTGTGAAGACTGCTCATGGCCTGTGACGCATGTGTTGTAGGAGGGTGAGGAGAGCCACATCTATGCCTCCATCCAGCAGCTGTGTGATGAGTCTGACAACCTGGAGGCTGTGATCGAGGACCTGGACCAGCGGGGGGACAAGGAGTCGGCCAACATCAAGCGGGTTGAGCTGGAGGAGACGCAGGGGCTGCTGCTGGCCAAGAGAGAGGAGCGGAGGATGAGGAAGTAAGTCATCTCTGGACGGAGGATTGGGGTGGGGGGATGAATAGGTCCTTGGCAACATATGCTTGTTGCATGAGCTGACTTCAGTGAATGCCAGGTTAGAATTGGTCCTCAGTAACCTATTCTTGTTGCAAGAGTTACATGTTGGTTACCCTGGTGGAATAAGATCCTAGCATGTTTGTTGTATGGGTCCGTCCGTACGTCCCACCTGTTTGTTGCCGCGATATCTCAAGAACTAAACACTGGATTGTCTTCATATTTTGAACTATGGTGTATATACAGACTCCGCAGACACCAGTCGGTTTTGGTGACCTTGACCCCATTTTCAAGGTCACAGCAGGCAAATCTGCTTTTGGAGTTGGAAAACGGTGTTGCCGCGATATCTCAAGAACTAAACACTGGATTGTCTTCATATTTGGAACTATAGTGTATATACAGACTCCGCAGACACCAGTCGGTTTTGGTGACCTTGATCCCATTTTCAAGGTCACAGCAGGCAAATCTGCTTTTAGAGTTGGAAAACGGTGTTGCCGCGATATCTCAAGAACTAAACCTCTCGATTGTCTTCATATTTGGAACTATGGTGTATATACAGACACCGCAGACACCAGTCGGTTTTGGTGACCTTGACCCCATTTTCAAGGTCACAGCAGGCAAATCTGCTTTTGGAGTTAGAAAACGGTGTTGCCGCGATATCTCAAGAACTAATCGCTGGATTGTCTTCATATTTGGAACTATAGTGTATATACAGACACCGCATACACCTGTCAGATTTGGTGACCTTGACCCCATTTTCAAGGTCACAGCAGGCAAATCTGTTTTTGGAGTTGGAAAATGGTGTTGCCACAATATCTCAAGAACTAATCGCTGGATTGTCTTCATATTTGGTACTATGGTGTATATGGCGGGGGATATTTCGTCACTCTGTGACAAATACTTGTTTAATTATACAAGGACAATTTATCATGGTGTGTTTGGGAGCGGTGGGGTAGCCTAATGGTTAAAGCATTCTCTCGTCACGCCGAAGACCCGGGTTATTCCCCACATGGGTACAATGTGTGACGCCCATTTCTGGTGTCCCCTGCTGTGATATTGCTGGAATATTGCTAAAAGCGGCATAAAACCATACTCACTCACTCACTCACTCACTCACTCACTCACTCACTCACTCACTCACTCACTCACTGTCTGTTTGTGATTCCAGATCTGCCATCAGACATCAGATCATCTACAGACGCCAGTCAAACAACTGAAGGAAGCTGCTAATGGTTGTTGGACCACAGGAACCACAGATGTGTACAGCGTTCCAACGAGGATGCAGAGATACGTCCTGTATATATGGGTCAATCAGTTATGTCCATTTAATATGATATAGTATTCCGTGTGCAGAATATCCCACTTTGATGCCTCAAGTGTTCCTTACTGATGAAGTTCATAACAATGTCATATGACCAGAGTGATACACATGCATGTTTGGGGCTGATGTTCCAAGTTAGATTGGCCCAGGTCATGGATGGAACATGCAATTTCAAGGCTGTTGGAGTGAAAGAAGCTCCAAGACAGCAAGAGTCCGGTATGACCTTTTCACAGCCTGCCTTAGACCGAGAAGAAAGACACAAGGAGAGCTTGTATGTGTGGCAAGGCCAGACAAGGTAACAAATATGTGATCTGGCTATGTTTTCAAATTACATAAAATGGCCGACACATTGTGTTGAGATTGTGTTCAGGGATGTGAAGCATCTTCACCTGTTGCGTCTGATGTTAATAATAGGTCGGTGTCTTTGTTCAGATAAGCTGACATGTGTTTTATTTGAAAGTTTTTTTGGTAGCTCAACACATCAGGACCCACTTGCACAAAGCGATATTAGCTAAGAGTTACGATCATCTTAGCGCTAAGATCGCTTTGTGCAAGTGGGCCCAGGAGCTGGTTGATCTTTCCGATATGTTTTGTCTCTTATGTGTTAGCTATTTGGATCCTGGATGGTATTGATGGAAGAGGGTTAAGAGTAGTTAGATAGCCTCATCAGTCACAACAACCATGTTACCATAGTTACCGGATACATGAACAATTATGAGATTTTTTCTGTATGAGATTCAGAAGTATCAACTGTCAAATGTTAACCAATTGGTCAAACTGGTCAGTTTTATTGTTTGACCGTAAACTGATCTTAACATGTGCATCCTTAGGCAACACCTTTCAGAACTGAATTTGAACTGAATAATTTTCTCAGTTTGTATGTACCCCGAGGCATGTCACATAAGCATTGGTACCAAAAAATACATACATTGGCTCTGATCAAAATGTGATCCGACTGAACCGATTAAGCATTAAGAAACTAAAAGTCCCATGAACTGGACAGCCCAGTTGAGCACAGTTTGGTTGTGTTTTGCAGCATGGAAGTCGATGGTGGTCCATGGCAAGACCAGTAGGGTACGATATCAATGTGAGCGTTACTTGTAAATTGTGTGACAATCCCTGTATTAAAGTCCATGCTTATTGCATGATAGAGATATTAAATGTTGTTCATATGAAACAATAGACTTCAATGACAAGTCAGACTCTGAGATTGTTTACAGATTATCCTGACCCCAAAATTATGAAAGTGAATTTTTATGAACTTTTTCGATTCCCTGAAAAGGAAAAGTTACATGTTCAAACTTTAAAAAATCTGTGCATTAAAAGGTTAAATTTCAAGACCAACAAGCTTAACTAACGCTGCTCGCATGGAAACATATAAAAAAAAAACAGGAAAAAAATCTGAAATATTTTTTGTGTTATATTGTTCCCATTTCCTGACCAGGATTATTCACACACACAAAAACATTGTAAACCAAGATAAAAGTTTGGCCTAATGTTTTCACACATCTGTGTTCATGAATAAGCAAGGCCTGGTGTAGTTAGATGACCTTTGTACACAAGCCTGGCTTTTCATTATTTTCCATATGCGTGAAAAGCTGTTGATGCGAATAGATGACATTTTGGGGACACAGCTTAAGGCAATATTTGCACTTGAAAAGCTGATTGTTTCAAACTTAAATGTTATGTGGAAATGAAACCGAGTGAAAACTATAAGTATTACTTCATATTATCACTTCACAGTAAGGTCCAAGCTTCTCATACGTGTCACAGCTAGGGTTACTTATATTTTATCCGCATTTGACCAAAATGTGAGGTGCAAGGCCATAAGGTTTTGTATTTCTACTGACTACATCTGTCACATTAACTGTTGGGGTATGTGATTCACATGAAGTTCAGATGTGGGACTGTTTCCTGTGTAATTCATCATGCTGAAAGAAGATGGAGAACAATCATCACGACTTTTTAGCCGTTGATAGTGAGCTGAGTTAGAATGAAAATCTAATAATTAATTCTTATTACCTAAGTGCTCAATTGTCATGATTTGTGGTTTCAGAATATTCATTTTGCAAGTAACTTTTGAATTACTCATTGTATGATGTTAGGGTCCATAGCACTGTTGAGCCCAACTGTGATGTTAAAACGCGTTGCATCTCTGTATGTTGTTCAAGGCCATTTCAAGGTCAACAGATCCTCAAGCTGCCATAATTTTCGATAATTTGCCAAACAATTGTCATTGTTGTTTCAGTGTTTTGTTATGAGTTTGGTAGTTTCCGTAACTAGGATGTTTGGTCCAGATGTTGCCTCAGTGTGTTGCTATGTAAGATGCGGTGTGGCAGTGTGTTGTTAGCTAACTGTACTTTACTTTCTCGTGGCTTCCAGCGGTATTTAGCATCTTACTAATGTTGTGTGAAGTACTACAAAACAAGTCGTTTGAGTTTGGATTGAGGGGTATAGACACAGCCCTTTCTTGACATATTGGACAGCATTAATTCAATACTTTATCAAGAATTCAGAATCTTAACTCATCAATATGATTGTGATTCAGAAGGCAGTATGTTGGTTATTTGATTCAAAGCTCTTTTATTTCATCTTGATGAGCATGAGTCAGTATTGAACCATGGTTACAGTGTGTGATGCATAGTGAAACCATGGTTACAGTGTGTGATGCACAGTGAAACCATGGTTACAGTATGTGATGCATAGTGAAACCATGGTTACAGTCTGTGATGCATAGTGAAACCATGGTTACAGTCTGTGCATAGTGAAACCATGGTTACAGTCTGTGCATAGTAAAACCATGGTTACAGTGTGTGATGCATAGTGAAACCATGGTAACCATATAATGCATTTTGAAATCATGGTTACAAACATTTGTAATCATTGTCTTCTCTGATATGGCTCCAGATTCCTCAAATGACCCTCATCATTGCTTCAGCTTTGCTATGCCAAAAAGATATGTGTCATAAAATGCTCATAACATGCATAGGTGAATAAACATTGACAAAAATATCTGAAAAGAGACCCTTCAACATAACAATAACTGAATATAAGACAGACTTCCTATAAATGTTGCAGTGGAAACAATCTCTGGCGAGGATTCCCATACTAACATTGTTTGACCTCATTCCAAAGCCAGATTATTGCGCTACGACTGTTATTGGAGTAATATTAGAGTTACGATCATCTTCGTTCCACGATCACTTTGTGGAACGGGGCCTTGGTGACTTCGTACATGGTCCTTTTCGACTTTCAGCAGAGACAGCCCAGTGCCCCAAGGCACTGCAGATGTGTGCCAGGATTCGCTTATTGTTGGTAATATCAGATTTGTGCAGGTTATGATCCCTGGTTAGTCAGGTGGCTGTTTTCAAGTTTTTGACTATAAAAGCGTCATGACCAGAAACGTGGTATAGCGTTTTCTCATGGCGGTCACCTGACCCCGCAGTCCTTTTGTCTTGAAAACACACAGCATTGGTCACAGCCCTTGTGCCGTTAACACTTTCCAAGAAAGATTTCTGTCCTTAAACATAAGATCTTTGAAAGACAGGCAGCAGGTGTCTTGAAGTAGAATCGTACAGCAGCTGGTTCGGCTGATTGATCATTTCTCCAAATACAGACAAAACTGTACTGTCGGGTTCCTCCATCCTCCATGTTGTTTTGAAGTTCGTGCTACGGTCAAGGTAGAAGTTGTTTTTATATGAAGGTCGTGGATATCGTCAGTTGATCCCAAGCCTGGGGTCCATGACCGACCACCTTTGGTCAAGTTTTTGAAAACTCAAATTGCTCTCTCTTTCTGACTGAAAAATATTTGCTTTACAAAAAACATTGGGGATCATGAAATTTTGGAGGATATTTGTTTGTAGTGAGGACTATACCCACAATTTCATAAAAATAGCCCCGAAATTATTCATGATCCCTAACTCTTTTTGGTCAATATACCCTAATCCAATCAGCTCATGGAAACATATGATAACAGATTTGTAAAAAATTGTAATCGGAAGAGTAAATTAATTGGGTCTCTTTTCAAATGAAATACCGTATTTGACGTAATAAGCGCCCAGAGTGCTCTCAAAATTTGAAATAGGGGGCTCTTATTAGAATATTATTTTGGTGAAAAAAACATTTGAAAGATCATAAATTTCGTGGTTTATGCTGACAGCCTGAAATGTTTATATACGAGGAGTATATTTTTCCAGAATTGAATTGCCCATAATTATGGGTGCATATAACACACGAGTGCGTATCATATACAAATAAATAAGTCTTGTGTACATTGATCATTTGGAAGGGGTGCCAATTTTGGATTGTTCAATAGCAAGTATATTAGCAAATATCGTTGGCGCTTATTAGAGCGGGGCGCTTATCACTTCAAATACGGTAGTGGATGTTTAACAAAATCAAAAGAAGGTTTAAAGTTAAGTTTCAGTTGATAATGAATCAAAATGTCCCGACATGATTCTTATGATTATGGTAGAGCACATTTTGAACAATTTTTCTCGCATTCATGTTTTGTCTCTTGAAAAAAGCATTAAATTGTATATGTTACTTCTTGTGATAACCTGAGTCAGCAGTATTTTATTTCATCATAGTGATGTTTTTGTAATCTTTACATATTATGATATTGATGAATTTTGTGTTTTTGATGAGGTAGAATTTACGAATTTACGATTGTTCATATTGGTTGTTGAGATAATAAGACCCTTTCTCATAGTTATGATTGTGTAAGGGATTTACATATTGCAGCAAATACATATATGATATTCAACACAAATTTTCACTTTTCTTTATTTATTGAACAAGTACTTACTCTTAGTTGTTGTTACTGTTCACTGTTTCTTAGGAACTGTTTTCAGATTTGTGATGAGGTGTTCGCTAGCCTAGTGGTGAAAGAGTTGGTTCATCAAAACGAAGACAAGTTTTCAAATTGCCACATTGAAAGAATTTAATATTGCTAATGGTGTGAAATACACCACTCGCTGATAGAGTAGCCAAGTGGTTAAAACGTTTGCTCGGGTTCGATTCCCCACATGGGTACAATGTGTGAAGCCCATTTCTGGTGTCCCCCCGCTGTGATATTGCTGGAATATTACTAAAAGTGGCATAAATCTCTGTCTCAATGTTGTAAAGCTGGAAAAAGAAATAGACAGTTGTTTAAATGGAACCTGTTGATTGCATTGAATTGAAGTTATCACTGTTATTCGGCTTTGCATAAGTGTAGTAAATCAAGTTAAACTATGACCAATTTGAAAACAATCATTCATGAAACACCAATATTGTTCGTACATTCATTTCAGTTTCAAAAGTGGTGTTGAAACCTAAATATTACCCAGGGTGGTAAGAAGATGAAGGGTTATAACTCGCCAAGTCTTGGGACTAGCCTCATAATTCACATTGGACAGATATCCTGAAATTCTAAGTTTTGAGTACCGGAGGTTATTCTCTCGTATTTGTCTTTTGATATCCAAATAAGGCCAAAGGTCAGCAAAATAGCATTGTTATTTGATCAAAGTAAGACTATCATTCAAGTATTTTGGAGGAATTCTTTGTTGCTATGTATTCCTGAAGGTCCAGAGAGCTACAGATATTACACAGCCGCGAAGTGACCAGAAGTTTGATATCTATACATGTATAATTCTTAAGCTTGTATAGTCTGTGTAAAAGCATAATGTCTTTCACTATGATGCTTGATAAGGATGAAATACTATTTATCGTGCCATTTTTACAATTTTTGTAATCTGATTTTATAAGTATACTACTCACCTCTTGATAGGGATACTGGCATGTTTTATGTTATTAGAAGTCTCAGTCCCATTATTAAAGTCATATCTTTTACTCCAGTCCATGAAGATGTGTCCACCCTTCTACAGATAGTCGTGGCAGGTGAACTTTCTGATCAGCTGAGTCAAGCGTTCAGACTTGATTTTTGTATCTCAAAAATGGACTTATATGACCAGTTCCACATGTAAATAATAACAACAGCACCATTATGTTTTTGTGGATATTATATACACGTGGTCAATTCTTATAGCCATGGCACCTACCGGTACACACAAGTGGGAGTACCATCAAGGAATATTTTGAAACTGTGTTGGTTTTCTTTTGTTAAATGCACAATTTTCAAGACAAAAAGCCAAATCATTTTAGAAAGTTGACATCTGATTGGATCAAGAACCACACATTTGTCAGTCCAAGTTTGCTCTGGGAGGTATCCTATTACAGTCAAAGGTCTGGATTTCATAAGACTGTACCATGGATATATTGAATACAGTTTGTATAACATCATCTCAAAGCTGTCCGCCACA